TAATAATAATAATAATAATAATAATAATAATAATAATAATAATAATAATTATAATGATAATAATAATAATAATAATAATAAATAGTATTTGTATAGCGCATATCCCCGCTCAACAGCAGGTTCTATGCGCTGTACACTATATTATTACCATAGCAGACCATAGAACACTCCGAAACATTCTCAGATTCCCGGGAAGCATACAGTGCAAGCAGCTGATTAAGCGCTCAAACACTAACAAACTGACAAGATCTTTCGCTGTCTATAGCCGGGTACCCATTCCCACCTGGGTGAAGTGAGGAAAATTCGTGTAGAGTGCCTTTCCCAAGGACACAACGTCGGGTCCCTGACGGGATTCGAACCCACGACCTTACGGTTGCGAGTCCGAGAGCCTAACAAATAGGCCAGCGACGCCATAAAGCATAGTCTGTACAGGCGTCTTAATTTTGTTTCTTTTAGTTCCCATCCATAATATTGATTGTGATGCTCAGAATAACAAGCACATGTACGTACAACTCAAAAGTGCCAAATATGTTATACTTTCTTAACACACACTCTGGTTCGTCTGTCTATCTATCTTTCAATCTATCTATCTATCTATATACATAAACACCTGTGTACACAAACACACACACACACAAACACCCACACACACACTCACACACACGTACACACACACACACACACACACACACAAGAGCGCACAGTCCAGTGTGTGTGTGTGTGTGTGTGTGTGTGTGTGTGTGTGTGTATGTGTGTGTGTGCGTGCGTGTGTGTGCGTGTGTAAGTGTATTCTCCTATTTATCTAAATGGATACTCCACAAAAACACACACACACACATACATGCATACGGAGAGGGAGAGAAAGAGAGGAGAGAGAGAGAGAGAGAGAGAGAGAGAGAGAGAGAGAGAGAGAGAGAGAGAGAGAGAGACTTACTAATTGTCATCATAGAGAGATAGGTAGATTGATAGATAGGGCGGAAATCACCCATTCTATATTTAAAGTGTTGCTTCAAAATTGCAATAACCCCCCCCCCCCAAACCCCCCCCCCCAAAAAAAAAAAACACGAGATAAAATGTGTGCAGAGACGAAATCGTTAACTCTCTGTTGTTGGCTATACTGAACGTGGCTGCAAATGACATGACGTGAGGTAAGCTCACCAGCTCGTGCCGACAGTCACACACAAAACCTCTCAGTTTCACGTCTTTGAGCTCTGTGAACAGCGACAGATTAAACAGGGCAAAAGCGAAACATCCCAAGGAAACGCTTACAAAACATAACAAAACAAGAAAAACACAGAGAGACAAAAATGAACCAGGGTACCTCAACCCGATCGATATTCCGTCTTTGCCTTCTTTCTGTATAGAGTCTGGCGATGTGTGCCACGTTGAAAAGCTCCAAATCCTTGTCCGTTCGTATAACTTTTCTACGGAAGTGCCAAACACAATCATCTTTTTTTTCAGTAAACCTTTTTCTGCGGTGTTTTACTTCTGCTCCAGATTACATCACAGCGTCTTGTTATGGATATCACAGCTTGTTGCCTACAGCATCGCTTTGCTTTTGTTCGTGATTTGTAAATTTTTCAAAAGAAGTTTTTTTCCCCTTTATCTTAAATCTGGTTCATATTTAATTTTATCTCATTTTTCGTGTTCTTCTATTTGTGAGGCAGTGTGGTGGAATCAGGCTTTCGTCAAAATAATTAAAGTAAAGTGAAGAAACTTGCATTTTTCCGCAGGTTTGTAAATTTTTATCAAATTTTTGTTTTTTGGCTCAACTCCTTTCATGCCCATTAAATAACTCATTTCTTAGCGGATTTTCCTGAAAAAAAGTTGAATAAAGGCACAAAAAATTAAAATTACCAGTTACCACGGACTCTTAAGCTAAGGAAATAACTAATCTTTGGCAGCCATTTTCTCACTCATTTTACCTCTGAAAACAAGTGACCGCCACCTCCTTCTTTCGCAAATATCTCGACTTGTATTTGAGATAAATGGATATTTTTTCATCCAAATAAAGACAAGTGAACAAGCTTTAAGATGATACCAATAACTCTACATGCCCAAAAATTGACGAGAGCCTGATTCCACCACGCTGCATCACTATTATGTTTTCCCTACTGACATTACCCCGGTTTGACCCAAAAAACGGAGCAGAGGCCTCAATAAATACTAAATGAAGGGTAAAGGGTTCTATATGAATATTCTATCTATCTATCTATCTATCTATCTATCTATCTATCTATCTATCTATCTATCTATCTATCTATCTATCTATCTATCTATCTATCTATCTATCTATCTATCTATCTATCTACCTTTCTATCTATGTATCTATCTATCTATCATTCTAATTCATATAAATAATATATTACGCACACACGCACACACACACACACACACACACACACACACACACACACACACACACACACACACACACACATACACACACACACCCCACCCCCTCTCCTTTGCCCCCTCCTCTGGGCTCCTGACTCTTTCTGCAGCCTTTCTACTGCTACTCCTTGGCTCCTCCTAACTGCTGTCTTTCTGCCACACCCCTGATCTTCTGGTAGGAAAGATCTACACCTAGCCTTCTCGGACAAGGGCGAAAAATCTCGGAGGGCCCGTGTGCAAGTTGCGCACGTTAAAGATCCCTTGGTGGTCTAAAATCGATAAGAGTAGGCTTCGGCCGCCACCCGGGCAAAATTCAAAATTTCTTACCAACGAAAACGTATTAGGTGTGTCCCGCGCGCTCATATGACCTATGCAGTTGCGAGCGCCGTAAAAACCCTATACTAAACTAACTAAACTAAACACACACACACACACACACACACACACAT